TGATGTTGGCGTGAAAGGTTTCAACAGTCGCTCTTCCAAAGTTTAATTGTTTTGTCGTTTTCTAGGGCTGCCGAGGCAATGATGTTCTCTGTCGGGTGGCAAGCTGTGGAGATCACAACATCTGTGTGGAAAGAGGCAAAGAGACGGTCACCCTGGAACGGTTTCGAGACAAGACTTGCAAAATCTGCCCAGCTGATGGCCCGGAAAGAGAATCCGTCAGCGTCTATTTATATACTGCCATTCCAGAAGCTGGAGAGCAGCTGGCCCCGCTTTCAAAGGCAAGCATCAGGAGGAGGATGACAATCAAGCGAGAAAGTGGTTGAATGCACAACAACTTTCAACGTTTTTAAAGAAGCCTCCTCCTGGAAGTATATTCCAGACCCACAGCTTGCTGGTTGCCCACCTCCTTTCTCCGCCCAGACTGTGCACAATCTCTGCTGTTTCTCTTACACTCTCAGACACTTGCTGGGGAGCTCTTATGAGGTCTGAAATTCTGCATGTTGGAAGACAGCCAAGTCCTAGCGGGTTTGGGTGCCTGATAGACATGTCTTCCTAGCTGAGCAGGGAGCCCCAAACAGTCTGGAGGCACGGCTTCTAGCTCCCAGCACGAGGCCAGCCCCTCCTTCCTTACCTGTGTGGCCCTGCAGCTTCTGCACAATCTCTTTCGTCTGGAGGTTCCAGATATAAACCAGGTTGTCCTCTGAACCAGATACGATCCACTAAAGAAGAAAGTGAGTGAGTTAAAAAAAAAACACCAAGGATGGACAATTGAAGCAGCACCCCCACCCCGGCTGCATCACTAAAATCTGGGGGATGTGGAGAAAGAAAATAGCTGGCGTTTACCTTTTAAAAGGAGGCATGTAGGAAGCAGGTGCATTTACCTAATGACAAATGCTCCAGGCCGCGCCTGTCCCCATGTGGAGAAGATGCATGCTCTTTTCAGGCAAATGCTCTCCCCCTACTGCTGAAACTTGACACGCAAGGCCTCCAGCAATGCTCTGAGACTTGCGGATCCGGGCTCTGTTTCCCCCCCCCAAAAGACAGCTCAGGAAAAACATCCTCACCTTCCCACCAGTGACCGAGAAGTTGGCGAAGATGCAGTACTTCTCGTTCTTGTGGCCAGTGTACGTCTTTAGGCACTGAAAGGTAAAAGGGGTGGGAAGTGAGCCAGGGCAGGTGGTCAGCAGTTGCAGAGGGGCGGCAGGGCCCAAGGCTTTGAACCTTTACGGGCCTCCTCTTTCCGCAAACTTTTCCGGATAAAGAGGACCGTGGTCTCAACCGACCACCTGGCCCAGCCTCTCTTGGCCTGGTGCCCTCCAGGTGGATTTGGCTGCAACTCCCATTGTGCCCTGTCACCATTTTGTGTTATTTTTTTTCCAACCCTCTAAGAATATTTAGATGATGGGGTATATCCTAAGTATGCGCCCTGTCAACACAGTGGCAACTCATCAATGCTATTAAATGATACAGGTTGCATTTCCACTGCAGAACAGAAAACATACAGTAGAATCCTAGAATCGTGGAGTTGGAAGGGGCCTCGAAGCCCATCGGGTCCAACCCCCTGCTCAAGGCAGAAATCCAACTCAAAGCAGAGCTGACCGAGGGTGGTCCCATTTTCTCTTGCGTAATTCCTGTGTTGGAGCATTCACCACCTCCCCGAGGTCATGGTTTCTGTTGTCATACTGTTCTAACAGCTGAGAAATCTTTCCTGACATTCAGCCGAAATCTGGCTTCCTGTCGCTTGAGCCCGTTCTTACATGTCCTAATTGGAAGGGACCTCGAAGCCCATCAGGTCCAACCCCCTGCTCAAGGCAGAAATCCAACTCAAAGCAGAGCTGACCGAGGGTGGTCCCATTTTCTCTTGCGTAATTCCTGTGTTGGAGCATTCACCACCTCCCCGAGGTCATGGTTTCTGTTGTCATACTGTTCTAACAGCTGAGAAATCTTTCCTGACATTCAGCCGAAATCTGGCTTCCTGTCGCTTGAGCCCGTTCTTACATGTCCTGCACTCTGGGAGAATCGAGGAGAGCTCCTGCCCCTCCTCGGCAGGCCTACCTTTCAAGCCTCTGAAGAGAACTATCCTCTCTCCCCTCCGCCTTCTTCACACACAAGCCTAACCCAGAGGGAAGTCAAGTCACAAGGATCACCTTCTAGGAAGTAAGCCCTACTGAGCACAGCAGGATCCGGTCCTCAGGTGCACAGGCGAGAGCCATAATGGGTAGATTTTTTTAAAAAAAACAGCTAATCACCAACTTTGGAGAAAGACCTTTTTTTCGCAAGCTTCCCGCTTGAGTTTATTATCAAATCTTTGGAGAAAATCCTGGAGACTCACCTTTCCTTTGCTGTAGTCCCAAAGCTTCAGAGTGCTGGAGAGAAGGACATGAAAGAAAAGAACCATCAGCAGGACTTGAAGCCTGGCACCACATTTCTCTCTCACACACACACTCACACACACAGGAGTTTCTGCTTTTGTTGTTTTTTAACCCAGTTCATGAACAGGGCCTTGTAGTGGAGCACCTTCTCTCTCTTCCATTGCCAGGGGAATCAAGACATCTACTGCCTCTAAAGGCTCAGCAAAAACCCCACCAGTGGAATTATATTTCTGTTGAAAAACCACTCTTACTTATCCAAAGTTGCTGCAAGAATGTATTTGCCGTTTGGAGAGAACTTTACAAAAGACACAGGTGGGTTGTCATCATCTGCAAGGAAGAGGAAACAAGAGCGCTGTTTAGGGGAAATTCTGCCCACCGGGGACACAGGTCAACAGAAGCTGGGGCTGGTGGGGGTGACACTCACCAATCAGCGTTTTCAGGCACTGTCCTGATGCTGTGTCCCAGATCCGACTGAAAGAAGAGAGAGCCGCTATGAGTAATGCAGGAAAAGATGGATGGAAAAAGTAGCTTTACGGAAGCCAAACTCCGGGTTACAAAGGGCAGGATCCAAATCTGCGGGTTTGCAGGCGGCACAGCTGAGCACTGCCCCCTTCAGCTGGCAGAAGCTCTCCTAGCCTAACTGAGATTAGTAACTGAACAGGCAATGCAGATTATTTTAACAGGAGCTTGGAGGAGGAAACATCTGGGTGCAAGACACCCACTCTGCCTACGACTGACCCCAAGGGACCTTCTTTGAGCAGCCAAACGATCCTGTCCCCAAATTAAACGAATCAGAAAATGCAAAATGTTCATGCACAAAACACAAAGGGGGCACAGGGCAAAGCACCTACACGCTTGCAGGCACGGCGAAAGCAGCAGTCACTTCCAACGACAGTTACGAGACCCAGGTGGGGAGGCAGGAGAAGCCGGCCCAGGCAGAGGACTCTCTGGTCAAGAGCAAGGCTAAGCGCAGCCCCTCTGTTTTTTAGCAGCGCTGAAAGGACCGCTCCATTTTACAAACTTTATATTCCTTCCCTCATCCACTTACCAGAGGCCATCATAGCTGCTGGACACAATCAGAGAACCATCGCGATTGAAGTGTACCTGCAGGGAAGGAGAAGAAGCCGAGGTGGCCCTTGGGGTCCTTTTCAGGGTGAGGAGAGGGGCAGACAATGGTCTTCATTCCCTGGCACTCTATGCCAGGCTGCCCGATTAAGACACACCCTACTCACAAAGGCCCAGTTTGAGACCTAGTGCTGCTGTGTCCCTGCCCACCTGCTTTCCTCCCACCCACCTTTTCCTTACACATGAGCTACAGCAGCTGCAGGGAGCGCCCAGTGCCACTGGAAGGAACGCGCGAGGGACTATCTTCCTCCAGGCCGACCTTGGGCAGCAGCGTAACTGGAGCCCAGATCTTCCACCTTGCAAGCAACCGTTCTCCCCCCACTGGTACTGCTGCCCTTTCAGGCACTTGTCAAGTGTCCCCCCCTGTTGAGCCTTAAGGGCAGGCATGATTGGCACCCAGGGCCTCGGAGGGACTTCAGGTGGCAGCCAGCAGAAACTTCAGCCTCCCCTTGACTCACTTTGAGGGTGAGAAAGAGGCAAGGGAGGCAACCTAGCTCAGAATCAATTCCCCCCCCCCAAACAATCCCACTGCCCTGCCATCTGGAAAGAACTTACAGCTGAAACAGGGTCAGAATGAGCCGGCAACGTTTTCAGGCATTTCCCCGTTTTCACATCCCATATTCTCACACTTTCATCAAACTGGAGATACAGAGAGGAGATATTCAGGGCCTGCAAAGCTCAGGGTCTCTCCCCCTTCCAAAACGCCCAGAATGGAGATTCAGAATTTACCCACCCCCACCCCCACCGTGAATGCACAAGCCCGCGAGCCAACTTCGGCCCACCGACTTCTGTCCTGGAGAAGGAACCCCTGTGAGTTTGCTCACTTCCCCCCTGCAAAGCACGCTCACCGATCCAGAGACAATGAGATTCGACTGGGGGTTGAAATTGCAGCAGAAGACGTAGTTGCTGTGGCCCTTCAAGGTCTTTAAGCATTTCCCCTGAAAACGACCACGAGAAAGAGAGCGGGGTTATTTCCAGGACCAGTGAAGCCTTGCGGTCTAGACCTTTCTCCCCGGGAAGCCGCAAGTAAGGCCATTCTACCGATGGTAAGGCAGATAAGCAGGCAAAAAGAGAAAGGACCACCTCTTACCGAGCTCACGTCCCAAATTTTGAGTGTTTTGTCATCTGAGGCAGAGACAAGAAGGTTCGAGTCAGAGGACCAAGCCACATCGGAGATTCCCTGAAAGAGAGAAGGTGCTTTAAAATCTTACTCGCTCACAACAATTTATAAATTGTACAATGAGTTTGGAAAGAGGCATTAGAATTTCAGCCTGTATGTGGGCCTATATACAGTATATATATTTGCATTATTCCCCAGCAGAAAGTTGCTCTGAACTGTGAAAGGGCTAGCAGACACCCTACCAACAAGAGTTTATTACCTGCATGACATGGTGGGGTGGGGGGTGGGATTTACAGGACAAGATTCTACTCCCACTGCTTTCCATATCACATCTAGATTCCAACCCATCTTTCCAAATGATGACCAGACAACCCCCTTCACAAACACATTTCAAAAACAAGAATGTGTGATACCTTTATGAGACCCACGGAAATCCCCCCTGGAGGCTGATCTTTGGCTTAGGGCAGAGAAAGAGGCAGCCACAGAGAAAGCAAGCAAGCAGGTCCTTGCTCCCGCCATCTCAGGCAACAGACACCCCCCCCCAGTCACACACACACAGCTGCTCATCTCTGCTAGCAAAAGCCACTGCTGTTTTCTGAGACAGACAGCCACCAGTAAATACCTGATCAAATTAATCCTCCAGGAACAGAGAGCGACTCACCAATTTGTGGCCAGAGATGGTTTTTTCAAATTTGCCATCATACGCACCCCAAATTTTAATCAGCTTGTCGGCCGCTGTGGGAGGAAGAAGCAGCCACTGCTGTAAAAGGATGACTTTTGTACATCAGCCCCTCGTTGCCATCCATGCCATGCCCAGGAAGCAGAATTCCGCCCGCCCATCTCCTCCACTCCCCATTCGGAGGACGGCAGGGCAGGGCTCCTCAGTTATAGCAACAGGCAGAAATCTCTCAAAGGGGGAAAGGCGTGTTCCTGGTGAGCAGTTCTCGTCAGGACCACCATTGCTGTATTTTTCAAAATGATTAAACCTCTCAGATTTTCTTCAAGGCTATCCCCGTGTACAAAGAATGACAGGGGCCTGGACAGCATTCACAGGACAAAATTCCTGCTGTAGGGTTAGCTAGCTTGGCCCCCTCTCCCCCAATTAAGTATGGTGACATATAAGCAAATGCAATAAACCAAAGCTTCTTTAACTTGACAGCAAACACAAAGGTCAACCACGAGAAAAAGGGGAAGAATCCTTTTGAGTCCATGTTTTAGAGGATACTTACAAGAACTAACCAGCCACTCCCCGTTGGGGCTGAACTTTACCGATGAGACAGCTTTCGTGTGTCCGGCTAGGGTGAACTTCAGGGCATAGTTTGGCTTTACGGGTGCAGGCTGGGGAGAGAGGAAACCCGAATGTATAAAGACCAGACCAACCCCAGAGTGTCGGTTGCGCTCCTGGCAGGCTGCCCTACACAATCAATAGATGGGCTTTCACTTTGTGGGTCAGAAATTGTGCAAGCATCTACCAGCCTTGCATACCTAACCATGAATTAAAGTTTCAGGCAATTACAGACACTGCACTTAGAACAAGTGGCTCCTGCTCTACACACATACACCCCCCCCCATTAATGCCTGAGCCCCACAAGCACCCAGAAGGGCCCAGCAAGTCAAGGGACTTGGGCAGATCCCCACACCAAGTGGCAAAAAGCAGCCTTGCCTTCGGCTGGCCCCCCACCCCGACTGAGCACTTCAGTGGGCCTTGCTGGGAGGCACCGAAGACCCACCTTGCTCTGGTTGGTGGACGAGGACGGAGTCGACTGTGTTTTGGTGGATTCCGCATCAGGCTTCTTCTCCTCTGTCGCCATGGCTCTAGAAACAAGCCAGCCAGGATTTGGGTGATGCGGGGGCTGGACGAGGCTGCGTNTTCAGAACAGAGCGGCTCTTGCGGGGGGGGGGGGGGGGAGAGAGAAAAAGCACTTGATCCCAAAACAATCATAAATGCCCCCGGAACCACGGTGTATGCGACCTTGTGCGCTTGAAGCGGGGGATTTGAAGAGAGGTGCTGATGGGCGGGGATCCTGGGGTCCCCACTTGTACCACCGGATCCCAAAACAATCATAAATGCCCCCGGAACCGTGGTGTATGTGACCTTGTGCGCTTGAAGCGGGGGATCAGAAGAGAGAGGTGCTGTTGGGCAGGGATCCTGGGGTCCCCACTTGTACCACCGAGTGCTGAGAATGGCACTCGGAGAAAAAAAGGGAGACCCCCTGGGTGGGGGTAGGAACGCTGAATGTCTCCCTATCCCCTGCCAGTGCTGTTGGTAGTTCTCACACCACGGCCCTGCAAACGCTGCCACCCGTAGCTGAGAGCTGGCGGGCAGCGGAGTTTCTGCCCACATGTTGGGCACAGGGCTGGCTGCAATGCTGGCACCGCAGGGCCTGGCGCTTCCTGATGGGGTCCTGCCTCCCCAGCCAGGCGGGTCTGGGTCCACCTTGGAGGAAAAGGGGGAGGGGGGACGACACAAGGCGAGGCGGGGGTGGTGCCCACAGGGTGGC